GAGTGTGGGTGTAGGTGTGTGGCTATCTACAAGATCAACTCACAGCCATACCCACACCCACACCCACACCCCACACCCCACACCCACACCCCACACCCCACACCCACGCCCACATCCACATCCACACTCCACACCCACACCCACACCCTCTAGAGGAAGATTTCTGTAGTCAAATGTCTGATCTGACTGGTGGATGTCGAGAAAAAAATTGAACATCGTTCACTTGAAAGTTGACAAGTGACTCGGTGATCTAAAGTCGAACGTGACTGAATCGATTGAGCGCGCGCATTGTGCTAGACAGATCGTTTTCGATTAGTCTCGTCAGTGAAAATTCTTCACAGGAAGTGCGCAAGCTGTCAGAAACGTTTCTGCAGGGTAAGCAGAAATTTCCTTCGTTGTAGAAATAACTTGTTTGTTCGCGAACAAACCCAGCCTTTGCTGCACTCGTAGCTAGCACGCCGGCATTTTTATAGAAGATCTTTTTCATAAACTGGACATATTGATGTCAAAAATGATAGTTGGAGATGAAAGTTGGTCAATTAAACCCTTGAGATGCAATGAAGACACAGTTCAGAGTACAAATGAATGTGGCTGGCTACGTATTGGGACTTTGATTTGATCGCGATGCAAATTTCTGTAAGCTGCCTATAATAAAAATACAAATATTAAGAACAAAATTTGCGCTTGAAATTGTTCTAAGTCGTCATTATATAGTGAGTTGATAATTGACGATAACAATATTCATGTTTCGAATGATGGCACGAGCCTATTAAATGCTTATATAGCAGAAGCAGTCCTATATTACTTTTACGACAATTTTTTCTTCTATAAAGATTACTTTTTTGAAGAAACATTAAATGCGTAAGAAAGCAGTGGAGCAATATCGAATTTCTATTTATCGATAGACCACGTCGTGCGCTTCTTCACTTCCGGCGAATGCGAAAAACATTGTCTCTTCATTATATATGAAGATGGGTACCGCCGCTATTCGGTCTCATTTCAACGCAAGCTATGATTTCAACAGTAATTCGTTGTTTCGTATTCGTTCTATTCAGGTAATTCTAAAACGTATTTTTTTCCTATTCATCTAATGTTGAACAATCTTCCTTTTAAGCCTCACAGGTTTAATTCTTGTTTTGTTTTCCATGTTCTCCTATTAATTTAGTATGTTGCTAGTTCGAGTGAAATCTCAATTCTGTGATGGGATTGCTCAATATGATCGATGTTCGCCAAATAGTGCGTGTGC